TAGGGACTTTATGCACTTTAGGGAATCTAGATATTTAAAGAGTTCCCCTCAAATTTTAAATACTGATTAGAGAAACAGGACTAAGATGGCTCTGCGACATAGTACCTTTTCAATCTTAGACTAGCTAGTACTCCGAATCTTGATTTCTGTATTGTAAAACAAAATGACAACAGTTCACTGTCTTGTGAGGCTGTTTTGAGGAACAGATGAGTTATTTTCTATCTGTGAAATAGCTTTGTAAACTCTAAAGTACTCTTCCAAATGTTAATTACATATCTCTACTAGTAAATGGAAAATTTAACTTAGGTCTTTACAATACCTGAAGAACTGTTAAATTGCTTTTGCTGATCCAGGTTGGTTTAAGTGCCCTGGTCTAGCATGACAACAGCTAGTCTGGCAACACTGCCATGCCAGCCCAAGCCAGCTTATCTGTTCTTCCCATGCTGCTCCTGAGCTGCTGAACAGTTTCTGAAGAAAATCACTTAACTTGACAGATGGCTTTCACTTTAGATTCATTTGCTCTCAAGACTTTAAGAAAAAGAAATATATATACTCTGCTCTCTAAAAGTTTGATAGTCTCTGTCACCTTAAAGTCACTTAGTCATAAAAAATTATCTCCTAACATTTTTGAAGGTAATTCTTTAGCTTTGAAATAAAATAATTTGATAAAATGGAGTTCACTTCTTCTAGGATGACTTCTATCACTATTGGTCAGTTCTATTTATTTTAAGTTACATGAAATCCACCACAGTATGTAGACTTGCAACCTAGTGTTCTGAAACAACATAAAGTCTGGTTTCTCGTCTAACAAAACTGAGAAAAATTCTCACGCCTTCTTTTTCTCAAGGTGAGTATATCCAATTCCTTCTATTTTTTTCTGACATAATTTTATAATTTTCTGGATGCACTCTAGTACCTCCATGTTTCTTTTAAAATGCCATTTGCTACCATGTTAAAACTAAGAAAAATGAGTTCTACAAAAACTGGAAATCTAATAAATCACGGGAGTAGGAAATATATTTTCCTAGTTGATTTTCATAATAACAGTGATAAAGGTAACAATAATAGTATCTAAAATTTATCAGTCCTTTTGTTTATGCCAGACACTGTGCTAAGTGCTTCATAAGGATTATCTCAGTTTATTCTCCCAAGTCTATGAGGTAGATGCTATTATTATCTCTGTTTTATGAATGAGAAATTTGGATCATTAAAAGGTTTATAGATGAACTATTACCACAATAATACTGTATAATAAGCCACCCCAAAACTCAATGGTTTAAAACAATACTCATTTATAATCACTGATTTACAGGATGGCTGGAGTTCAGCTGATCTAGGCTGAGCCCAGTTGAGCATTTCTGCATCTCGTTGTAGGATCAGTTCAGGCAATTCTGCACCATATGCTTCTTGTTCTTCTCCTTGGACCAAAGAGCTAGCGAGGGTACGTTCTTCTCACGGCAGTGACACAGGCTCAAGAGAGAAATCAGCAATGTGGGGTCTCTTAAGGCCTTGGCTCTGAATTTGGCACACTGTTACTTTTATCACATCCCACTGGCCAAAGCAAGTCACATAGCTAAATTCAAAGTCAAGGGAAGGATACTGCACCCAAGTCCATGGCAAGAATGTGGATGCAGGAAGGAGTGAAGAATTAGAAAGAATAATTCATTGTATCACAAAAGGCTAAATAATATTTCCATAGTCAAAACCATTGTAGCAGGCAGAGATTGAGTTTGGCTGAATATAGCAGAAAATCCAAATACCACTGGCTTAATAAAGTAGGGGTTCATTTTCTCTAATGTTATGGAAGTCTGGAGGTAGCCACTCAGGAAGCTGATATGACTGCTCTGTGATATTACCAGAAACTCAGGCTTCTTTCTAAAATTTTGTTCCATCATCCATAAGGTATAACTCTGTCACCTTCCTGTTGGCAACAGGTTGCTGGAGTTTCAGCCAGCACATTCTCATTTCAAGTAGAAAGAAAAGGAAAGGAAATAGACATAAAATGAAAGGGCCTCCCAGACACCCCATTCAGTGATTACACTCACATCTCATTGGCTAGGACCATGTCACAGGCCATCCCTCGCTGAAAAAGGGGTTGAGATAAATATATATACATAAACATATATATATAT